CCCCAAAACCCCAAAACCCCAAAACCCCAAAACCCCAAAACCCCGGATCTTGCATTTGAAATTGAATACTACCAAAAGTGCATTATCCTTGATTTTTAGTGTAAAAGCTCGGGCTTTCTTCCTCGATCTGTGACATCCCGTAGGGGTTAGGGACATCTAGAGATCTTTATGGGGAGAATCTTACCTTGTTCCATGGAATTCCTGGATTCTTTCAGACTGTCATCACTCTTTTTGTACACCATGTCCATTCTTGAAGTGTTTCTGTTGAAAGAATGATGCATAAAGTTATCACTTGGTTTTGCTACAAAGTTGTTCTGCTTTGTCAATGGCTGGAGACGTCCCTTTTTGTTGTATGGAAGAGAATAGTTATATGGAGACATTTCCTCATGCTTGAATCCAACCCTGTTCTCAACAATAGTACTTCCAGCACTCCGGTTTGACTGTGAGTTTTCAAGGTTTCTCTCGAAGCTGTTGAGGATTTCAGGAGTATGGGTGATCTCATCTCTTCTGTTCTGATGATTGAGATGAGGAGTGTTTGATGATCTTCCTCTACCTCTTTCAATACTAAATGATTATAACTATAGGTGTACTATTCAATGCTGGTCTCTTGGTTTGGTACTGGAGTTTTCTTCATAGCAATGGTGGGAGGATCTTCGAGATCGTTCTTATAACTTTCTTCTGTCCTAATAACTTTCTGGCTCTTTGCTCTATTTGGTTGTAAAGATTCTAAACAATGTCATCACTAAAGTATACCATTGTTCACGATAGTCTTTGTAAAGGAGTTGCCGATATCATCCTTCTTCGAGTCCTCTTTATTAATAATATTTCTTTCCCTAACGACTCTCCTAGTGCAAGGGATACAGAAAGTAGAGGAGCACCAGAAACTATTTTTCTTCTTATAATTCTTACTCCTCATGAGCTGCTTCTCTTCCTCGAGGTCGACCATAATATTATTTTCTTCTTCGTTCGGGCTTTCTGTTCCTGCATCTCTTACATTAGCTTGGGTGTCGACAAATTTATCCTTGGGCTATATGGGCTAATAAAATTTTGGCTTACCTTCTTGGTGAGGTTCCGCATGTTAGTAACTTTATTCTCTTCATCAATCTCCATCTGTCTTTTCCTGCGCAGTATCTTTTGAAAAATTTCTTCCTCATTTTCTTGGTTTACTTCTTTGATGATCTTCGAACGCTTTTTAACTTTGAGGTCTCTGGATTTTCTATCAAGTTCTTCAAACCTTTCCTTGGTAATGAAACCTTCTTTAAGTCTTCTGAGCCGGTCTTTGCGAACGTCCATATACTGAATGTATTCAAATGTGGTAAAATCGTATTTGGTTAGCTTATAGTGCAATTTAAGCAGCAGACAAATTCCGATGAAAAGAATTCAGCTGATAATAACCATTACTAGGACTAGTGTGGTCATGAAGATAGCTAATCCTTCGTGATCCTTCCTTTCAATTAATCACAAACCGCTCTTAACATCTTTCGGACGGCTTAAGTAGCCTAGCGATATATAAATTATTCCTGAAAATCAATAAAAGAAAGTCTGAGCTCCAACAAGGATGATTAGGACGATAAATGTTTTGTAGTTCTTTGCCCCAATTCAGTTGTTGAGCCATTTACAATGGTGATCAAATAGCTCAACTCATCTGTTGCATTGTCCACAATGTTTGGTCCTCTCATTCACATAGGACTCGCATACTTCACAGTACAATTTTAAATCCCCTTTTTCCGGAGTGATGCCTTTCTTCATGAGCTCTCTGCTGAGTAGCACTTCTCTATCAGTTGGGTTGCTGCTCATAGCTCTTAAAGCATAGAATAGTACCGCTAAGTTTAGAATTAAGTAGAGGATCGACAAGATCGCCATCCCAATATGTGAGATTGATGATACGCATGGTAAAATTATTAAATAATAACTGATCAGGTTTATTGCATAGAAGATCCATGATAAAACTTGGGCTGGATGAAAAGGCCAATTAAGCCCATTTTTCTTCATTTTTCTAACCTCAATCTCTACACTTGACTTTGAGTAAGTGTCACTTTTAGGGTCAATTTCTTCGTTTATTGAGTTGCCTCTTTTTGTGTCGGGTGCAACTGGTATATTGAATCTGTTTGGTAATGTCTATAACTCTATAGCTAGCTGCTTCTAAAAATTCCAGATTTGAGATAGAGTTTTTATTGATCATTAAATACTATCCTAGTGAGGAAGTTTGTATCCTAAGGGTTCTAAATTATCTAGCAAATCGGGACTCCAATCCAATTTATGAAGGTCTTCTGGTTGTTAATAATTACCTTTTGTGGACTCTTCACTTCCTCACTTTCGTGGCTTCATTCGTTCATAGCTTAAGAGGGATTCTGAAATTATATTATTTTTAAAGACAAATTGGGGTTTTGGGGTTTTGGGGTTTTGGGGTTTTGGGG